TGTTGCAAAACCTTTGCACCTTCTCTAATTTTCTTGACGTGCTTGACTAGGTGTGGATTCCAAAACTGGTGCTGCATACTCAGTATGGGCCTGATGTAAATGGTATCAGAGTCTTGAATGAATCCTTGCTGAGGTATCGGACCGATATCCGTCCCTGCAAGTACTTTGCCAGGCGCCCGTTATGCTGTCAGCAGTTATCTGTTTGACGTGCGCCTCAGGAGATTGCCTCGGTGTTTATAACTCACCCCCAGATCTTTTTCTTGATGTGAATTTGCAGTTCTTTGGCCATCTAAACCTTTGTGTCTGCGGTTTCTTCTTTGCCCTTCCCCAAGCTTTCATGACTGTGCATTTGCCGGACCAGGCTTGTAGCCTGTCAAGGTCTCTTTGTGTCCTGCATGATCCTCATCCGATTTTGATTCTTTCATTAACTTCAAATTCATATGCAAAAACAAGGACATTCCTGAAGACTATCCCTTCCGTTATGTCGTTTCACAATACCAAGAACAGCACAGGTCCTTGGATGACCCCTGTGGAACTACCGCTTGACACAGGCGCCCACTCTGACTCCTTGTCACGTTCCATGGATCGTTGTTGCCTCCCTGTTCAGGTTTTCTCTGATCCATTGCTGTGCCTCCTTCACCTGTTATGTGTGCCTGATCCTCTAGCTTTTGCAATAACTCTTGTGAGGATCTGTGTCGAAGCCTTCTTGCCAGTCAAAAAAATGCAGTGATCACCCCTCTCTCTTTGTCTTACTTCTGTCACCTTGTCATAAAATCTAGTAGGTTGTGACACAGGTTTTCCTTCCTGGAAACGTGCTGGTTGTCAATTATACACTTGTTTCTTCCAGTGTGCTCCACCACTCTCTCCTGATGATCTTCTCCAGAACCTTGCATACTATACACGTTAGTGATACAGGTCTAAAGTTTAGGTGCCTCATGTCTGTCTCCCTTTTTAAAAATTGGGACTTACATTTGCATCTTCCATACCCTCGGGGAGTTGCCCAGTTTCTAATGATGTGGTTGAAGATCTTTGTTAGTGGTACACACATATCTCTGCTCCCTTGTAAGGACCCACAGTGAAGATCGTTGTCTGGTCCCACCGCCTTTGAGGTGTCAAGTTCGCACAGCAGCTTCTTCACCTCCTCCTTGGTTATATGTATTTCATCCAGCACTTGCTGATTATGTATGAGTGATGGTGAAAGTGTTGAATGATAATGTAAGGTTTTTTCTTTGTTTTTGGGTTTTTCTTTCTTTTGGGTCACCCTGCTTTGGTGGGAAATGGCAGACGTGTTAACGAAAAAAAAAAAATACTGTGATTGGAACAATACACAAATAACCCACACGTAGGAGAGAGGAGCTTATGACAATGTTTCGGTCTGACTTAGACCATTTACAAAGTCACACTAACAGAAAGGAGAGAAGGGGGCAATATGTATATAGACCAGCAGACAGGAACAGGACAAGAGAGGTAGTAGGAAAGGAAGTAGATAGGTAGTGGTAGAGGTAGTAGTAATGGTAGTAGTGAAATTAGTCAAAGACCAAGAAAGAGGAGCACTGCAGGAGAACTAGGGGCCCATAAAGGGTAGGAACAAAAACACAGGGGGGGTAATGAATAAAAAAAGAACCAAACACCCAAGGAAAGAGGAAAAAGAAAAGGAAAAAAGGGAGGAGAAAAAAGAATCAGGTTAAGTCATGGGTGTTCTGAAGTTTGGAACATTTTACAGTGTAATGGGAAAGGAAGGCATCTACAGAGACAAAGCCAGGACTAAGATTCATGCAAGGAAAGTTGTCTACATGGGAGGATTCAACCAGACAGTGACTGTGAAAGTTAGAAGTAGGGTAGACAGTTTTAGCAAAAGACCAGTCAACAGGATGACTGTAATCTCTGACATGACAGAAAAGAGCACTGTTGGTGTTGGCAAACCTAACACTATCTATGTTCTCCTTGAGTCTGTCAGAAAGAGAACGGCCAGCTTCTCCAAAGTTTCTGAAGCCAGAGAATCAATAGAGGGAGGAGAGATATGAACTAGACTTATGCAAAGAGTGTTAGTCTGGCGAAAAGTAAGTTTGATGTCTAAGGAACGAAGAGAGTGGTTGAGATTAGAAAGGCTGGAAATATAGGGAAGGCAGAGAACAGGAGAGTTCCCAAGAGTAGAGCTTGGGAGAGAAGAAAGTCTGTTTAGCATGTGAGAAGGCAGAGTATATGAAATGGGAAGGGTAGCCATGACGAGAAAATGAATTATGAAGAGTGGAAATTTCCAATTTTAGGAACTGAGGATCACAAATGCGGAGAGCATGGAGAAAGAGAGAAATAAGAACACTTTTCTTGACAGAGGAAGCATGATAAAATAAGAAGTGAATGTACATGCCACTGTGCATAGGCAAGTGATACATGGAAAAAGCAAAATCTGTATCTGAGCAGTGGACATGAACATCAAGGAAAGGAAGCAAGGAATTAGATTCCCATTCAGCTTTAAACTTAATGGAGGAGCAAGATTGTTAAGGGCATCGGGAAATGGTTGGAAGAGACTAGACTCATGAGGCCAAAGAGCAAAGATGTCAGCTACATAGGCAAGCAAGAGTGAAGGGCACACACCAATAGTAGGAACAATAACAGTTTTGATGAATTCAACTCAAAAAATAAAAAAAGATTTTAAATATTTAAGATAATTATTGCAAGGATAATTATTGCAAAGGTAATCATTGCAAGGATAATTACTGCAAGGACAATTATTGTAAGGACAATTATTGCCAGGATAATTATTTTAAGGATACCTGCAAGGATAATTATTGCAAGGACAATTATTGTAAGGACAATTATTGCCAGGATAATTATTTTAAGGATACCTGCAAGGATAATTATTGCAAGGGTAACTATTGCAAGGACAATTAGTGCAAGGATAATATACTATATATGAGCTCTTCTTCTTTTAACCCTTTCAGGGTTTTGGATGTACTAGTATGGCTTACGCACCAGGGTTTTTGACATACTAGTACGCCTAAACTCTAGCGCCCTCAAATCTAGTGAGAGAAAGCTGGTAGGCCTACATATGAAAGAATGGGTCTATGTGGTTAGTGTGCACAGCATAAAAAAAATCCTGCAGCACACAGTGCGTAATGAGAAAAAAAAAACTTTGACCATGTTTTTGGATTAAAACAGCGACTTCGTATAGTATTTATTGTTGTATTCTAGTTTTCCTGGTCTTATTTTATAGAATGGAAGACATATTACAGAAATTGAGATGATTTTGACTGGTTTGATAATGAAAAGTACCTTGAAATTGAGCTCAAAGTAGCAGAAATGTTCGATTTTTACTGAAGTTCAAAAGTAAGCAAATTATGCTAAGCGTCCAATACACGTCAACTGGTGAGTCTAATATTCTTTCTCAAGTGTGCTGATATTATTTATACCATTTCTACACTAATGCAGTAGTCTACATAACAGTAAATCTACTACTTTCTTTGAGAATAAAAATTCAAAGTGGAAAGCAAAAGAATGTAAAAGGGGTGTGGGAATGTGACTAATGAACAGAGGAAATTTTATTTTAGTGCCAGGAATGTCTTTCTTGTTTATTCTGAACCCTATTTGGAAATTGGCATCTTTTGAAGTTTGTGTGAAATTGGCAAAATTGCTAAATTCCGACCACTTTATTGGAAAGTTGAAATCGGTACATGGGTGGTTTCTTGTACTCATTCAATAGAAAAATGGAGTTCTAGTGAAATAGTTATGATTTTTGTTGACTAGTACACTGGAATTGGCCGAAAATAGGGCTCAAAGTGGGCAAAATCACCGATGCGTAAACACTGTCGAGACTGCTAACTTCGTGAGAGCATAATTCCATGTTTTCCATCAAATTTCATACTTTTGGTGTCATTATGATCAAGAAAAGATTCTCTATCTTTTCATAAGAATTTTTTTTTTTGTTTTTTTTTGAAATTTGGGCGACCTTGGGAACAAGTCTGGGAGAGGGCCTGGGGACCCTGAAAGGGTTAACAAACTGGTCAAATACCACTGAGGCAGGGTGGCCCGACAAGAAAAACAAAAGTTTCTCTTTTTAAATTAAGTAATATACACTGGAGAAGGGGTTACTAGCCCCTTGCTCCCGGCATATTAGTTGCCTCTTACAACATACATGGCTTACAGAGGAAGAATTCTGTTCCACATCCCCATGGACATAAGAGGGAAATAAACAAGAACAAGAACTAGTAAGAAAATAGAAGAAAAACCCAGAGGGTGAGTGTAAATATATGCTAGTACATATACAGTGGACCCCCGGTTAACGATTTTAATCCGTGCAAGAGGGGTAATTGTTATGCGAAATAATCGTTATGTGAATGAATTTTCCCCATAAGAAATAATGGAAATAAAATTAATCCGTGCAAGACACCCAAAAGTATGAAAAAAATTTTTTTTACCATATGAAATGTTAATTTTAATACACACAAACTGAAAAAGGCATGCACAATTACATGACACTTACTTTTATTGAAGATCTGGTGATGATTGATGGGATGGGAGGAGGGGAGAGAGAGTGTTAGTGTTTAGAAGGGGAATCCCCTTCCATTAGGACTTGAGGTAGCAAGTCCTTTTCTGGGGTTACTTCCCTTCTTCTTTTAATGCCACTAGGGCCAGCTTCAGAGTCACTGGACTTCTTTCGCACAAGATATCTGTCCATAGTGGCCTGTACCTCTCGTTCCTTTATGACTTGCCTAAAGTGTTTCACAACATTGTCAGTGTAATAATCACCAGCACGGCTTGCAATAGCTGTGTGAGGGTGATTTTCATCCATGAAGGTTTGCACTTCAAGCCACTTTGCACAGATTTCCTTTATCTTTGTAGTAGGCAACTTCTTCAATTTCTCTCTCCCCTCCTCTGAACCAGTTTCCCCAGGTCTGGCCTCTTGCTCTTGAAGTTGATCTATCAGCTCATCAGTGGTTAGTTCTTCATTGTCCTCCTCCACCAACTCTTCCACATCCTCCCCACTAACCTCCAACCCCAAGGACTTTCCCAATGCCACAATGGATTCCTCAACTGGCACAGGATTCTCAGGGTTAGCCTCAAACCCTTCAAAATCCCTTTTGTCTACACATTCTGGCCACAGTTTCTTCCAAGCAGAGTTCAAGGTCTTCTTAGTCACTCCCTCCCAAGCCTTACCTATAAGGTTTACACAATTGAGGATATTAAAGTGCTCTCTCCAAAACTCTCTTAGAGTCAGTTGAGTTTCTGAGGTCACTACAAAGCACCTTTCAAACAGAGCTTTTGTGTACAGTTTTTTGAAGTTTGCAATAACCTGCTGGTCCATGGGCTGCAGGAGAGGAGTGGTATTAGGAGGCAAAAACTTCACCTTAATGAAGCTCATGTCCCCATAAAGTCGCTCTGCCACGTCTGTAGGATGACCAGGGGCATTGTCTAACACCAGGAGGCACTTAAGGTCTAATTTCTTTTCAGTTAGGTAATCTTTACACATTGGGGGCAAATGCATGGTGTAACCAGTTATAGAAAAAGTCCCTAGTGACCCATGCCTTACTGTTTGCCCTCCACAGCACACACAAATTATCCTTGAGGACATTCTTTTGCCTGAACGCTCTGGGAGTTTCAGAGTGATACACTAATAAAGGCTTAACTTTGCAATCACCACTAGCATTGGCACACATCAACAAAGTAAGCCTGTCTTTCATAGGCTTATGTCCTGGGAGTGCCTTTTCCTCCTGAGTAATGTAGGTCCTGCTTGGCATTTTCTTCCAGAACAGGCCTGTTTCATCACAATTAAAACACTTGTTCAGGTTTCAGTCCTTCACTGTCTATGTACTCCTTGAATTCCTGCACATATTTTTCAGCCGCTTTGTGGTCCGAACTGGCAGCCTCACCATGCCTTATCACACTATGGATGCCACTACGCTTCTTAAATCTCTCAAACCAACCTTTGCTGGCCTTAAATTCACTCACATCATCACTAGTTGCAGGCATTTTTTTAATTAAATCCTCATGCAACTTCCTAGCCTTTTCACATATGATCGCTTGAGAGACGCTATCTCCTGCTAGCTGTTTTTCATTTATCCACACCAATAAGAGTCTCTCAACATCTTCCATCACTTGTGATCTTTGTTTCGAAAACACAGTTAAACCTTTGGCAAGAACAGCTTCCTTGATTGTCTTTCTGGTGCCCACAATAGTAGCGATGGTTGATTGGGGTTTCTTGTACAACTTGACTAGGTCGGCGATATGCACTCCACTTTCATACTTATCAATGATCTCTTTCTTCATTTCAATGGGAATTCTCACCCTTATTGGTGTACGGTTGGCACTAGAAGCTTTCTTGGGGCCCATGGTCACTTATTTTCCAGAAACAGCACCGAAAACACTGTAATAATACGAAATATTCCGAGTGTATGCTTGGATGTTACCGCGGAGGCTGGCTGGTAAACAATGGCACGGGCGGCACATGTGAGGCTGGCTGAGGGCGCACATTGGACGCGTCTCGGACGAAAATCGGTGAGCGGGTTTTTAATCGGTATGCGCGGCAAAATTTTTGCGATTAAAGTTAGCGGTATGCGGATTAATCGCTATGTGATGCCATCGTTATGCGGGGGTCCACTGTATGTGTAGTGTGACCTAAGTGTAAGTAGAAGTAGCAAGACATACCTGAAACCTTGCATGTTTATGAGACAGAAAAAAAGACACCAGCAATCCTACCATCATGTAAACCAATTACAGGCTTCCATTTCACACTCACTTGGCAGGACGGTAGTACCTCCCTGAGTGGTTGCTGTCTACCAACCTACTACCTACTGTATGAACTCAACTTTGTAATTATACTGTAGCAACTTACCTGATTTTTATCAGTGTTTGCAACACTACAGACTTGAGGAACCATCACCATGATGTATATAAAGGTGAGAGCCAGAAGCCAAGCAGTAGGATGTAGTAGGTAGCAGATGTGAGAGCTTGAAACAGCAGCACAGCAGAGAAGCCATAAGAGTAATGTAAGGCCAGCACTCCAGCACACTGCCACAACACTCATCTCCACTGGTGCTGAACACTTGCTGCTCACTCTCCACACACTCACTCTCACAATCTAAGCAAGATATGGAAAAACATTAAATTTCAAAGACATAACTTTTTGTTATCCTAGCCATTCATATCCATATTGTCTCTTTATTAAGTCATATAATTTGCATCTTTCTTCATATATTCCTTATGATTCTGAAGGCTTTTTTTTACAATTATTTACGCAACTGACAGATATCAACATGGTCACTACAAACAAGCCTCAGTCATCATTATGGAATAATCTAAAAAACTATCTATTTTGAAAGAAACGGTTGAGTAAGGACCATTTTGCCAACAATCTCATTGCAAAAAATATAAATAAAAATTAATTCCAGCATACAATTTTTTTTTCTAAAAATGTACATTAAACACACGTATAAAAATGAACTGTATTTTGCAGCTTATAAGACTTTAGTTTCAATGGCTCGGCATTGGACATAACTAGGAGAGCTACAGCCCACTCCACACCCCAAACTTATAGCTCCTGTCACTGACCTTCAGTTTATAGGATGCAGGGTGGTTTTGGGAGACATTTTAAGGCAAAGAGAAATGTGTCTAATAAGCCGCATAATACAGAATATTGCACATTCATAAAACACTGTATCACAAAACACTACACCTACCATCTGACTTATGACCGAGTTCAGTTCCGATAAACCGGTCGTAAGTCGAAATGGTCGTAAGTCGAACTTTACTACTGAATATCAACAAAACATTTTTGAAATGACTTTATTTTATTGTTTTATTTTGGTATTTCATGTTTTACTTTATGTTATGGGGCTATAGGACCCAACATGTATTTATAAGTAACAGTTACTCTGGAATACCTAATTATATTGAATTGATGGGGACTTTGCTCTAAATGTCATAAGGGCTGATCACTCTTATGACTGAGAGGCAGCTGGGTCAAGCCTTTTTCTCAATATAATAGGTTATACTATAGACACACACACACAATTTAAACAAGTAGTTTATAAAGTTGTATTTCTTTTGTAACAGTAAAATAAGGTATAGTAGAATTGTGGTAACAAGAGAACTGTGCTTGGCAACAGTCTTTTGTTTTGGTGGGAGGAGTTTAGCTAGGCTCCTCCCTCTCCCCTTTGTCTCTCTCTCTTCTCTTCTTGACATGGAGGTGGCAAGATCTCTGGGTCCTTCTTTCTATCTTTTGGGGCATTATGTGTGCTCCAGGGGTGAGTTTTTATAACTTAAGTTGTGGCCACCATACCCAGGGTGACTAAAGTGTGTCAAAACACTGGTTAGCCCAGAGTTAGTCAAGAAGAGAGAAGGACAAAGTTGTTGAGATGCACCATGTGGGAGAACAGCTATGGAGTGTGTAGATCTTTGTTTTGAAAATGTGAGGCTGTAATTGTATATTCTGTACATATCTATTGAGAATACAGTTATATTTTTATAGTAGTAGTTTACATAACCTTTGAAGAGGGCTGGTGAAAGGATATCAGACACTCAAGATGATCAGCCATGATGTAAGTATTACCCCTAGACAGATAAGGCCATTAAGTAAAAAGCTACCCTACACTAGAACATGTAGTGAGAACCTTACTATCAAAGTAATAAGGGACACACCAACGTAACACTTTACTTTTTATGTTGTTAGTATTGTATTTTATACTGTAAGGTTTAGGATAAACACTGTGTACAACACAAATAGTTATATATTTCCCAGAAATTTGGCATAAAAAACACGGTCATAAGTCGAGTGGTCATAAGTCGAGCAGGTTGTAAGTCGGATGGTAGGTGTATATAGTACAGAATCCTTTATCCAAAATTTCAAGATCCAAAAACCTCCAAAATCTGAAAGTTTGTCGAGCAACAACATGGCGTGCCACAAGTGGATCATTCAGTGCAAGATGTGGGCTCCATCTCTTGAGCCCAGACAGATGAACATCATATTTTACTAGTGCCAGTTTGTTGTCAGCCGCAATTACCATATTTTACGGTGCTGAGGACACTTGTTTTTTTTTCCCAAAATAGGTATCAAAAATTTACCCAGCATTTTGGAGGCCGAAGGTTAAGTTGCTCATAGGCCTCAGCCAAAGCCTAGAGAAGTGTTTCGATATTAGGCAATAATCTAAGCTCCTGTATATGACCCAATAATGAATAATGAAAACTATTTTGCATAAAATAATTAATAACAAAAATAATCATAATCATAAAGATTCTTAGGCATTTAGCACTGGTAGGCAACGATAAAGCAGGTGATGGAATTGATTAGTCTATGGATAATACAAGTAGGCTAATTCACCTGTTTACCATCAAACCACTCAGTAATAATATTTTTACTCTCCTCAAACAATCGATATTAACCTTTGAGCTTAGGCTCATGCTGCAGTACTATGGCTTTGAACTCAGGGTCTGTACCCTAGTACTATGTGATGAGCTCAGCTCACCCAGATAAACTGTGAGTGGTAAATTTTGGCCTAGATACGAGAGAATGGGTCTGTGTGGTAAGCATGCATTATAATCCTGTCGTATGCAGTCAATGATAGAAAAAACAAAACTATGACCATGAGTATTGTTTAAAACAGTAACTTTGCGGTGTATTGTTTCTTGGTACAGTAGACCGTCGTTTAACACGGTAGTTACGTTCCTGAAAATGCCGTGTTAGTTAAAACTGTGTTAGACAAACTGAAGAATTTATGGGAAAAATAAGGTTACATTACTCAGAGCTCCCAAAAAAGCCATACAACTTTTTTTAAACCAACAGATCTTACAAAAATAAAAGTGAATATGTAATTGTAGTTCACTGTCATGATACATTACTGCTTATGACCACAAATGCAATAGAAATAATAGCATTTCTTACCTTAACTCTTAAACTGTCCAAACGTAAATCTACGTTGGCATGCGGGAGGCTCTGAACGTAGATCTACATTTTTTTTTACATGCTTTCAAATGAGGAAAATCAAGGTCGGAGCGCTACGCACATGAACATAGATCTACGTTTGGACAGTTTAAGGTTTAAGTGTTTAAGTCTAGGAGTTATGAAGAAAATCGAGATATTAGACAAGCTTAAGAGTGGCTCACATGTGGTGGATGTAGTGGGGAAAGTTATGGCCTTCTGTAGTTAATTCTTTCACAGGTTTTTTCCTTGCTTGAGAATCAGTTTGACAACAACCATCCTCCTCAGCCCAGTAGTGCCACACCACAAACACCATTACCCACAATTTAACCCTTAAACTGGTATAAACCTTGGTAATAAATACCGACAAGTTGGTTTAGAAAGACACGTAAGCAAACACTATAACATATTTATTAGAAAACGTTTCGGTCCTTGGACCTTGATCACTTCTAACATACAGAGGTAGAAAGACATTATATATATAGGCGGAGAGTGAGATGTGACGCACGTGACCTGAGGAATGTCATAAGAACATAAGAATGGAGGAACACTGTAGAAGGCCTACTGGCCCATGTGTTCCTTCATTCTTATGTTCTTATGACATTCCTCAGGTCACGTGTGTCACATCTCACTCTCCGCCTATATATATAATGTCTTTCTACCTCTGTATGTTAGAAGTGATCAAGGTCCAAGGACCGAAACGTTTTCTAATAAATATGTTATAGTGTTTGCTTACGTGTCTTTCTAAACCAACTTGTCGGTATTTATTACCAAGGTTTATACCAGTTTAAGGGTTAAATTGTGGGTAATGGTGTTTGTGGTGTGGCACTACTGGGCTGAGGAGGATGGTTGTTGGCAGAAGTGGATGGTAGAGGTTCTGGTACTAAAGTCGATGGTTGTATTGGAGTGTGCATAAATTCTGTAGGCTCTTTTACCCTGCAGTACATTATAAAGCTGTCGGTAAGGTATCACCAAATAGTCTAAAGCACATTTTAAAGTACTCTTTCTAGATTTGTCAGGGTCCTCTTCAGTGAAAAAATCTGCAACTTTACCAATAATATGGAACTGTTCACATAATTGGTGCAATGTTAACTGTTTTTCTTCAGGTTTTTCTTCATCTTCTTCTGTTATGTGGCTCCCTTGTATCTGTGCACTATGCTCTGCCAACATTTCCTCTGGACTCCTGTCATCTTCATCATCATCATCTAGGAGCTCATTCACATCATCTTCATTCATATCTTCTAAACCATCACCTGGTAATCTCCTAGTCAGCTGAATAATTTCCTGAAACTGATTCTCAAGCAAGGAAAAAACCTGTGAAAGAATTAACTACAGAAGGCCATAACTTTCCCCACTACATCCACCACATGTGAGCCACTCTTAAACTTGTCTAATATCTCGATTTTCTTCATAACTCCTAGACTTAAACACTTAAACCTTTCATTTATTTATTTATTTATTCATTTATTTATTATTTTGATCATGATACATACAAGTACAATGAAATACAGTGGTTAAGTGTAACATGCCAAAGCCCCTTGTATGCAGGGCATTATGGGCAGGCTTAAAATAAACTTAAGATTAAATAAGCAATGATACATTCAGTGGTAGACATTATTGTAAACAGATAACAATTAAGGACAAATGAGTACACGTTCGCCATCACAAATCCGGCAATCAGTTATTCGGTTACTTCAGTTATTCGGCACTAATTTCAGCTAGCATAATTTCAAATTTCCAGGGTCGCCACACCAACCTGCTGGTACTGTTTGGTGGTGCTACATGTTGCATAAGTCATTCTAATTTCTTTTTCTCCATTTATTGTTATAACCTGCTTACTTTTAGCCCTAGCCATGGTTCCAATGAATAAAATAAATGCTTTTCGTTGTGTAAAGCACCTACACAGTACATTGTCCATTAAAGATAAGGTGGCTTTGAAGCCACTGTTGGTTACCAAGAGCTCAGTCTCGTGATGCAGGAGAATGAGAGTTATTATTACGCAAATATCAACACTACAGTTTACTGCCTATCACAATTCATCTAATATGACATAATAAACAATATAAACAACATAAAACATGTTAAATATTCCAGAATGAATAATATTTGGCATAATACCGATAAGTTCGACGGAGGTATGAAGAGGATACAAGAAACAAGTACCA